TTGCTGCCGTTATTAAGTGCAGGATCAAGTTAGTCTCTACCGCTGTAAAGTCAGTACTTATACCTAGCTTTTATTTTCTGGGGCATTGTGGACAAGAGGAATTGATTATTGTTTAATACTGTATGGTGTATACATGTGAGTGTATGAAAATGAAAATAAAATAAATACATCACGATTAAAAAAAAAATAGTTGAGAAACATTTCTTTTACCGCCCACCGCCTTTCTTATTTCTGCTTCGTGCCATTAAAAGCCTTTAGAGACTCAAGAGTTTCCAGAATCCAAGAAGACTTTCTAAATCATGGGGAAGACACTCCTGGTTTCTCTCCATTTTTCAGGAGTCTCTCTGCTATCTGGAATGAACTCTTCCATGGGTTCCCTAACCTAGGATCCAAGCAGTTAAGCCCTAGAGCAGGGGTCAGCAACTTGCGGCTCTGGAGCCACCTGTGGCTCTTTCACCGCTCTGCTGCGGCTCCCTGTCGGCTCCACAATTGATAGGGCTTTCAGTTAGGACAGGTAGAAGAAAAAGGACACTAGGAGGTGTGTGTGTGTGAGAGAGAGAGAGAGGGGGGGGGGGGAGGCTTCCGGTTAGGACCTTTGTGGCTCTTGAGTATTTAAGGTTGCCGACCCCTGCCCTAGACCAAAATCCATGGATCAGTAGATGCTTCTTCTGTGACACGGTATAATGATTAACAAAATGTGACTCACTAGCTGGGAAGCAGACATGAAACCTTTCCATGCTCTCTAAATCAATAGCCAAGTGGGAAGATTTCCAGGATGGCATAGAAACGTGGAAACAGGTGAGAGAGCAGATGTCAGCTCCTAATGCAGGGCCTGCTAATCCCTCTACTAGATATAGGAGATCTTTAAGAGGATTAAAAGTTGTTTTTATTCTCCTTATTACAGTCCTTGGAAGTGGCCTTTAGAAGAGCTGCTCTAATACAATAATGAAGGTTGGAATAATAACGAGTCATCATTATCTCAGTTTTAAGAGTGCGTGTGTCTCAAAATAGACATCTCTTATTCTCCATCCAAGAAAAGCGTTCATTTAAATAAAAGATATATTATTTTAAGGGTATGGCAATTTCTTCTAATGTATAGAAACAGCATAGATCATACCCTTGGCACTTCTCTTTTGATCAAGTGGGAAGAAAGAATCATAGATTTATTACTGGCTGGTTGTAACTAGTACTGATGAACGTCCAGTAGTAATTCTGACGATCACGATGATATGATATATGGATTGTCAGAGTGTGCATTAATAAACATATTGTACTCTACTTTTAGAAGATTTTCTTCATTTTTGTAGAAAGTATAACTTTAAATTTCATGTTCATTTCTGTATTAGTATTTAAATTGCCTCTTCTCCATCCAGTAACATAAAATAATGGCTAAGTAACTGACCTAATTAAGTACAGTGGCTTAATATATCTGTTTATATATTAAATGGTTTAAGTGTTAAAAGTAGAATGTTGAATTAGAAATTACAAATGATACTGCTGATCCTAATTGGGAGTTACAGTTTACTCCGGAAGATTTTTTTAAATGAAAATAATACATTAATTGGAATAAAGTAGCAGAGAATCCGAGGGTTTTCAATTATGTTTCCTAAACAGTTTTTTCCCTTCCCAAAATAATTTGTTCTCTTGCTCAAGCTTAATAACCAGCTATCTTTTTAAATAGTAATGATTAATGCCAGGCAAGGGAAGAAGTTAATTTCAGAAGAAGATCTAGCAGGCTGTGCAGATTCAGTTCCAGGAAGGTGTTTCAGAAGGTGTGGGAATGGGAATGTTGCTCTTGTCTGCAGCTCTTTAAAGCAGCTATGTCATTGCCGAACATCTATCAGCAGAGAAAGGAGATCAGCATTGCAGTGGAGTATGAATGGCACAGTTCAGCTGAGGAATTTGTGGCTCTTACTTGCCTGCCCTTCAGTCTGAAGTGCTTTGAGGAAAAGACTCTAGGTGTTAGGGAGCAAGGAATGCATGCTGATTTCTCCTTCAAAGCACAAGGAATGAATTTGTTGTAAGTAGAGGACTACCTGTATTTTAAAGGGGTCACATTTCCAGTTTTGGAGACCAAGCAGGCTAGTTGCCCATGATGGAGAAATTGATGGAGATTCTTCCAGTAAATGGAGGGGAAACAATGGTTTAGTTGTCATGTCATCTACATTGAAATCCAGAATGACTGTACGAAGTTAGCACCGGTTCCACCACAAAACCACGTTCGACTAAACCGCGCTCGACTAAACCGCGTAGCTGACGTCATCAACAGGGCGACAACAGCGCGGAGACAGAAGCACGCTGTAAACGCTAAACCTAAAATTAACACCTAAACCTAAACCTAACCCCTCTAATCCTAAACCTAACCCTAACCCTTAACCTAACCCTAAACCTAACCCTAAACCTAACCCTAAACCTAACCCTTACCTTAAGTTGAATCGGCTTGCTTTCAAAGCGCTATTTAAAGCGCCCTTCTTTCTCCGCGCTGGCTGTTGTCGCCCTGTTGATGACGTCAGCGACACGGTTTAATCGGGCGCGGCTTAGTCGAGCGCGGTTTTGACGGATCATGGTTAGCACCCACCCCTTTCCTAGAAGACTGAAATATCCTGAGAAATATTGAAAAGGCAGAATATTATATTTCCCTGGATAAGAATATTATTCTTCCCCGGAGAAACATGTTTTTAGGCAGGAAACAGACTCACTCTTAATAGCCCCTACCTTTCTCAATGGGCCATTAATCAGTCTATTCTACATTAATCAGTCTATTCTACATTACAAAGACCCTCCCTTCAGCTCCAGGGTGATGGGATTAAGGTGTTAGGGAGCAAGGAATGCAGGCTGTTTTCTCCTTCAAAGCACAATGAATGAATTTGTTGTAAGTAGAGGACTACCTGTATTTTAAAGAGGTCACACTTCCAGTTTAGGAGACCAAGCAGGCTGGTTACCCATGATGGAGAAATTGATGGAGATTCTTCCAGGTGAAACAATGGTTTAGTTGTCATGTCTTCTATGTTGAAATCCAGAATGAAGTCATCAGAGGGATTGCTTTTATTTAATCAAAGGCTCTCCTGGGGGAGGGGAATGCAGAATGATGTGAACTGTTTTCTACCCACAGGGGAATAATAGCAGCCAATGTTACACCTTGGTTGGAGCAGTGCAGTTGGTCCTCGACTTACGACCACAGTTGATCCCAAAAGTTCCTTTGCTAAGCGGGATACTTGTTAAGTGAGTTGTGTCTCATTTTAAACTTTTTTGGTCACGGGTGTTAAGTAATTTGTTTCAGTTATTAAGTGAATCATGCAGGCATTAAGCAAATCGGGTTTATCCTTTTGACTTTGATGGTGGAAACAGCTGGAAAGATGGTGATAACATGACTGCAACTGTCACTGTCATAAATACATACCTGTTGTCAAATGCCCAAGTATTGTTTTACTACAGAAAATAAAATACAAAAGCAGTAAAACAAACAAAATGAAACAAAACAGAAACATACATTCAATCCTAACAACAAAAAGGAAAAAAAAAACTCTACAAAAGATGAGGAAAAATTGGTCAATTAAATTTAGCATTTAACATGTAAGGATCCACCCTGGCTGGGTGCTGTAAGAAAAAACGGTTGCCTGAATTTTGATCATGTGGTTGTGAGGATGCATCAGTTGTTTTATAATGTCAATCACTAAATGAATTTGTTGTAAATCAAGGACTACCTGTATTTTAAAGAGGTTACATTTCCAGCTTTGAAGACCAAGCAGGCTGGTTGCCCATTATGGAGAAATTAGTGGTTATTGGGTACTGGAGCAAAAATTTGTGAATATACAATGCTATTAACTTCCAGTGCCTCCCCATAATCTATATGTTAATTCGTATTTATTTAGACTCTGTAATCAGACAAATTGTATGGCCAGTTTTGTCACGTATAGAATGCTCAAAATGACTTACGAGCATATTTAATAATATAGGTAAAATAACCAAATAATATTATTATTATTATAAGATATTATTATTGGGCTGTTGGGTTGTTTGTGTCCTATGAATGAGATTGTTTTCCTACAGACCTCTCATCACCACACTATGTAACATCCGTGAAGATTGGAGAGTGAAGTTTGCTGGTGGTTTGTTTACTGTAGTTGACCGCAACATCTTGGTGGGGCATCGTTTCTTCCTTGATGGTTCCTTGGTTAGGACTCTGCTTCTTTCCTGATTGTTTCTCTTATGCTGGTTCCTGCTTCTCTGGGTGTTGGCTGCTGGGGAAGATACGCCCTGATTAATTGTTTCCTCCCTGGGTTTTTAAATGTTGCGTAGATAGGTTTACCTCTGTGTTTCTGTTGATGGCTGATTTGTCAGAATGCCAAGCTTCCAGACATCAACTGGTCATTGGAAGACATGACGGGCATTCCTTGATCTCTCAACGCATAAACAAACTGAACCACAGTTACATTTCTGGAATTGTTGACATGTTAGATTGAAGCAGATCAAAAAATGCCAGCAGTATTTGAAGCTTATGTCACATGGAAGGATGGCAATATATGTCAGAGAAAACTTATTAATGGACATCTTTGCTTTGCAGGTTACTGAAGTGTAGAACAAAACTTACTCCAGAAACAAACGAATTTGTTGTCGACAAAGATTCTTAGTCACCCAAATAGAGTTGTCTGGAAGTTGAGTCAGGGGAACTTTTTCTTTTTAGTTTGAAATGTCTTGTTGCTTATCCAAGTAGTTTCTTCTGTCAGAGCAAGTTGATTGGGGGGTGGGGGTGGGAGAGGGATATATGTTCCCCAGGCAGGTTTCAGTTCTCACCTAATTTGAATAGACTCCTCAGGTGAGTAGACGTTGAGTCCTTAAGAGTCCTTGCTCTTAAATCCTCCTTTGTTCCAATCTATTCCTAATTTTTCAGGGGAAAAAAAAAGACTGCTGGAAACCTTTTGGCGAGCACAATGGCACTACACATTGTCTTCTGTCTTTTTTTAACTGAAGAAAGTCTAAGCCTCCTCAAATAGTATTAGTGGGATACTGTATGCTTGTTATATTTGGCTGAACTCTTGGTAAAGTATTTTCCCCCCCATGTAGATACATCCTATCTAATGTGAAGATATTTTACTTTTTTAAGTGTCAGTTTTATTCTATATAGCAGTGATGGCTACCCTTTTTGCCATCGTGTGCCAAAAGCAGGGGGAGCTCAGGGGGTCGTGCAGGCATGTGCCTTCCCCCCGTGTATGCATGCACGACCCCTCCCAAGAATGCGTACGTGACCTCCCCGCGCTCCCCTCCATTTTTGGTGCGCGATGGAACGATGGACCCATTTTTCGCTCTCCCCAGACTCCAGAGGCTTTCTAGGAGCCTGCGGAGGGCGAAAACGGCCTCTACCTCCCCCAGCAGGCCCACTGGAGGCTGGAAATGACCCGTTTTCCGACTTCCGGTTTGTGTGTTGGGCCCTTTTTCGCCCTCTGGTGGGAGAAAAACGGCCCAACTGGCAAACCAGAAGTCTGTTCCCAAACTTCGGGTTTGCACATTGGGTTGTTTTTTGCCCTCCGGAGGCTTCAAGAAAGCGTCCAGAGGGCAAAAATGGCCGAAAATGAAGGCCAAAATCAGCTGGCACTGGAGCTGATAAGGCAATGCCTTGTGTGCCCTAAAGAATGGCTCCACGTTCCACCTGAGGCACACGTGCCATAGGTTTGCCATCACGGCTATATAACATACCATGTATTTCTCTTCAGGGGCATGCCCTTAACATTAATATCTCCCCGTTGTTTTTTTGTTTTCAGAATCAATGAAGGCTCCATTGCATGGAAGGACTATAGCACATGGAAGAAAAAGCTCATACCAGGACGTCTTTGGTTTCCAGATTACCCAAATATGGAACCAAGCCTGTTGGAAGTCCCTTACCGCCTGTCCCAAACAGGACGGCTCCTCACTTTTCAGGGAATGCACAGATCATTGACAAAAATTTCAGCAAGCACAATGGCGCCCCTCGTCTGTCTTCCTTTGCTTTCAACTGGAGAAAGTCTAACAAATTTCCTCTGGGAGATCGGATCGGTAATGAATATAACTCCGGTCAAGATCCTAGTGAACGAGTGACCGGATCGGAAAAGTGTCCTCAGTCCGAAGGATCCGTTGGTCAGGAACAGGTTAGGACCAGTTCAAAGACCACATTTTCCAAAACAGTGAAACAAGACAATATGTTTGTATCGCCCGCTGAAGAATTAAATCAGAAATGTTTGTCGGGTCTATCTAATTCGAAGTACGCCAAAAGCTCTTTGTTAAACAGGAGTTCCTATTCTGGATTTAATACACCGAAACAGCAGTTGAATGGGATTTGTGGGAGCCAGTCGATGCTAGGCTTGCAGAGGATTAGGGGAAACCATTTTGTCACTCGGAGCAGCTCAAGGGAAAGCCTGGCGAGATCCACAGACCATGTTCCACCTGCTTCTGACAAAATGGTCCGCTCGCAAAGCTTCTCACATTCCCTTCAAAGCTCCCTGTTGCCTCCCACCTCTCTCACTCGATCCCACTCGTTTAACAGGGCGGTGGATCTGACAAGGCCTTGCCAGAATCAGCACCTGGCTCTGAGACCGCCGCAGAGGTCGAATCTCCTGTTAAGAAGTGCGCGCCAGTTGGATGTGCCCAATGGGAATGAACCCTCGAGGTATGAATTTCCTAGGTCATTGGCTTCTTCGGCGCCTCCTCATATCAAGAAACAGCCCCTCTTAAATGGTTCGGGGGATGCGTCTTCCCTGAGGTTCAGATCAGGCCGCCCTTCGTTGCTGAAGCCTGTGAGCCACCATTTGGGTAGAAAGATCCCTGTGGATGGGAGCGCCAGGAAAGAGCCCGCAAATAGTTTAATGGAGGATTTGATTCCCACGGAGGCAAAAAGAGATGCTGATGTCATAGAAACCCAGAGCAACAATTTTGTAGAGAGTAGCTGTAGAATGTGCACGGATGGGGATGTGGATGAAATATCAATATCTTCCCTGTCCTCTTCGGAGAAAAATGACCTTAGCGAAGATTTTAGCGATGATTTTATAGATTTGGAAGACCCCAGTCGAACCCTGCTGGCTCAAGAAGAGAAGGTTCCTGCTGAAAAGCTGGAAGATAGAAATGGAATACCACCACATCAGCTACTGTCTTTTCAGGAAAATGAGAAGTTGAACTACAATAATGAGGAATGGCTACATATACATGTGTCAGGTAAATATGCCGGGTGTGGTTTTTCAGTACTCACTGTAGAAGCGAATGGAATCCATAAAATGTTATTAATGTTGTTAATCCGGAATATTTGGCATTTGAAAGTCCTCATATAAATTCATTTTTCAATTAATTGTCGTGAAGGTTAAAATTCAGATTGTATTTGATTTAATTGCGCAACTTGAACACTTGAAAGCTAACATTGTCAACTTAAGATGTGCTTAATGTCTGTGGGGATTCTCAGTCATCCAAGTCATGGTTGTCCCAAAGATGCTTTTTCTGAAAGGCAACTGGACTTTTATTGGGAGTTTTTTTCTCCTTGAAAATGTTTCACGTTCTTGGATGAAAAGCAAAATGTTTTCAAGGAAGAAAAAAAAAACAAAGACCAATTGCCTTTTGGAAAAAAGCACCTTTGGGGACAACCATGACCTGGATGATTGAGAATTCCATAGACATTTGCACCAGGTTGTAATTTCTAAATAATCTTCAAGATCAGCCCTATTTCCAGATGAGCCCAGGATTAAGTCTACTTGCTTTTTTTCTGGGTAAACTGTGGTCTTCTGGGGAAGCTGGTTCAAGTTCAGTAGCCATAGTCAGTAACCAAGACAAGCTTCCTTAAAAGTGTGATTGTTGTAGTGGTGGGATACGATCAGTACAGGCATACCGGTGCCTGCAGGGAGCACCTGGTACCATTCCGGTATGGTGCTCCGGAGGGCCCACCTGCCCTCCTTACCTGTATTTGAGCTGCTTGGGGCTTATGCACATGCGTACTGAGCATAGCGGGCAGTAAGTACACATGCATGCGCTGCATGCATGCATGTGGTGGATGCCTGGCCCTGTTGCACTGTACTGATTGTTGACTAGGCTCACAGATCCACAGCCTTTGGCTTAGCATGCAGTGGAATGGCATAGGAAGTGCAGTGCTCCCACCTTCAGTAGGAGAAGGCTGAGCTTGTGTGGTTTAGCTTCCTGAATGGGTCACGGAATACAATTAGAGAGCTACTTTGATGGGATAAAAGTTTTCTTATCTCCCGAAAAGGAAAGTACTGAAGTGTTAAATTTAGAATCTGTATACGGTATTGTATTTAGGTGGTGTTGTTTTTATTTAAGAAATAGATGACAAGAATGAAACTGCCAAACTTCCTCCTGGGAACAATGAAATTTCTTCGGAAATGGATTACAGAGCCGGCTCCTCTTTTGAGCTTTCCCCCTCTGACAGTTCGGATGGGACCTACATGTGGGATGAAGAAGGCTTGGAGCCCATTGGGAGCGTCCATCTGTGTGGCAGTTACGATTCTTCAGAAATGAACAGTATCGTATGTATTCTTTGTTTTTATGTATGAACAGCATTTTATATATTCTCTGTGTACACAGAGAGAGACAAACACACATATACTACACAGACACACACACACTGATATATTATCAGTGCCATGCAAATATCCGTGTTGTATCTCACATTAACTTCATCCTTTTCTGAGAATTCCATGGCAGATGCAGCAGGTACAAAGATCTCAGTTTGAATGAGAATAATTGGAGAGGTTAGAAATTGAGGGGAGATTGGCTAATATAACAAGCTGCCTTTTATAAGCTTGGTTGATCTTTCCATGTAGAAATAAGTGCCTTTGCTTATATTGCTTTTGCAGTTGTATCTTATAAACTTGTTCCATTATATTAAAATCTTGTCAGTGAATTAAAATACTGTAAGTGTTTGAAATATTTTAAATAAATGTCAAAATACAGAGGTCCTGTTCTTCAAAATACTTTGGAAATGTTTTTGTAGCTCAAGAGCAAGAGTGGGTCAGTCTTTTTCGAAAGACAAATGTTTCGGATGTTGCCGTGAATGGTGCATCTATCCAAGCTGTCAAGGATACAACACTATTCAGTGTAGTATATTTTTGTCTTTGACCAGTGGCCTATGGAAATTGAGGGTGCACTAGAATGTTTGTGAATGCTTGATGAGAAGTAGAAAATCTGGGACTGATACCTTGTGGAAAGTATAGAAAGTTTGAAAACTATAATTCTTCATTTGATGGGGAATGCTGATACTACTGTATTTTTCAGAGTAAAAGATGCACCTTGGGTGCGTCTTATACACTGAGTACACATTTTTGGCCTACCAAAACCCAGCCCCCTTTGCAAAAATGGCCGTGCATAGCCTTTAGGAGGTTTCCAGAGTGCTCCTGGGGCTGGAGAGGGCAAAAACGAGCGAAAAACAAATCATTTTTTCCTGTTTCCTCCCTCCCTCCTAAGCCCCCAGGAGCACTTTGCAGGCCTCCCAAACTTTCTGCATGCCCCATTTTCCCCCAAAATTGTAGAGTTTGGGAGGCTTGCAGAGTGCAAAAACGTTTTTAAAAAATTACCTCTTCAAAAGCATGGTGCGTCTTATACTCTGAAAAATACGGTATATGCTAATATCACATGCTGATTTCTTAAGGTCTCACAGAAGCCGCCTCCTTATCACAATATGAATTTTTTAGCTGTTCTGTTTAAAAAAAAACTAATTTAGTGATTGGCTTCTATCTATAGATAGTCCTTAACTTACGACTACAATTTTTGTTGCTAAGTAAGACAGTTGTTAAGTGAATTTTGTCCCATTTTACAGCCTTGTTTGCCAGGGTTGTTAAACAGATCACTGTTAACGGTTAAGTGAATCTGGTTTCCTCATTGACTTGTTAGAAGGTCCCACAAGATGGTCACACGATCCTGGATCACTGCAACTGTCATAAATACATGTCAGTTGCCAAATGTCCGAATTTTAATCATGTGACCACAGGGATGCTGCAAAGGTCATGAATGTGACAATCATGTCACTTTTTTCATTGTTGTTTTAACTTCAAACAGTCACTAAACAAATGGTTGTAAGTTGAAGTTTACCTGCAATATCTTCCATATTGAAATAAATGGAAAAAAAAGAGTTTTTCTGTTCTCTGTTCCCACTTTCTCTAGCGCTTCCACTTTTATTGATTTAGCAGTACAGCTATCCCCATTGTTGCTTAATTGTTTTAGGTATATTTTTGGAAAAAAAAATGTCATTTATCATTGTATGAAACCTGCTCTGAAACCTGGAAATCGGACAGGAGGGAATATTAATATGAGGACATTAAGATTTATTAGATTAACATCTGAACATTTTTCATTTTAAAGACTATGCTAGAATTCTTTAAGAGTCTAGCTACCCTATTTTATCTCTTGAGCAGTCAGAATTTTTATTTGGATTTCTGCAAGGTTTAGCAAGATTATATTTTTTCATCATTTTTAGCAGTTGTATCAATTTTGTAACCCTGTTTTTGGTCTTCAACCCCAGTGCCAATAAACACAAACACTGAGGCTGAAATTGTCCAGTGAAGATATAAACTTGCTCCCTTTGAAAAAGTCAAATTTGTAAACATCTACTAACATCTTTGTTATTATCCACTAACTTTTAATTTTACTAAACTTCTTTCTCTTTTAGAAGCTATAATATAGGACATATAAACGCTGATGGGAATTTCCATATAAATACTGTCCTGCATTTGAAAACATGGTGTGTTAAGCTGTCTGAAAAAGTCTGGGTGGTTTTTGGTGCAACTTTCCTCTTCTTCCCCAATTTAAATACAGTTGAGACTGTATGATGTTGAATATTTTAAGCAGTTCTTTAGAAATGTTGTGGGTAGAGGCTAGATGGCAGCATAACAGTGTGCAACAACTGGTGTAAACATTCCATGTCAGACTGATGTCATATTTCCTCTTTTCGATTATGTAATTAACTTGGCAACAGTAGTATCAATATTCACAACTGTATTTATTCTGAAACAAATGAAGTTAACTATATGCTTCACTGACCACCTGTGCTACAGTTTGTGCCAAATATCCAATTGCCTAGAATTTGGCATTCTTTGCGTGGCTATCTTTTTAAATTATATCCTGATTAAAATGGCCTTGTTTGTAGAATTCTGACATTAGAGCCAGAATGCTATTAGTGCTGTTTTGTTCCACCCAGAAAGCCATCTATGTTGTTATCCACAGGTAATATGAATACCATTTTCACATAAATAGCATAGATGCACACGTCACTTGAGAAATATGTACGCGTTTGCAATTAAGAAGCAGATGTCTTAACTGCTGTGTCTTCTTCTAATAAATGAAAAAGAGGCATTCAACAATCTGTAATAATTGCCCTGAAGATATTAGTGCCTTGGGTGTGAAAGAATCAGGGGATGGGGTTAATTTTGAGGTGGCAAAATTTGCAAAATGGAGCAGAATGATCCAACGCAGAGCAACGTGTAATTATAAAGGAGAAAAGGGAGTTGGCATAATCTTCCTTATGGCTTATTATTCAATTAATTGTTGCATGAGTGATGATGTAAGGGCCAGGGCATCTATTTTCTCAGGTATACAGAAATAGCTGGTTACAACAAGCCAGAGAGACAAGTCAGTTAAATCACAGAATTTAAAGAGAAGAAACATGGCTTCTCTTACTTTTTTAATCCTCATTTTATTGGTAAATCATGGGAATCCTAATTTCAGAAAGCAGAAATCCCTCCGTCTCTCTGACAGTAGTAATATTCCTAGCACAAGGTATTTCTAGAGACCTTACTTTGGGAGACAGCCTGTTGCTCAAAATCGCAATAGTTCAACTTAGACAAAAGTCTTCAATGGATTTTTGGGAGTATTTATTCTCTCTGCCTTCTCAATAAAAACTGAGTACAAATCCAAGATTTAGTCATGAGTTGTATCTTATAAAATATGGACACTGGCTTTTTTTTTTTTTAAACCACTTAGTTTGTAAAAGCATACACAAACATTTGAATACTGTATGATTAAATCCTGCTACATTTATGGGTTGGATATCTTAATTATCCATCAGATGCAAGGCCTTGGGCAGGGCTTGAGATGGTTTTCTGGAGGGTTTAGTTGTTGTTTGTTTGTTAAAAAAAGAAACACATGTTGTTCTGCTACTTTTCCACCTAGAAACCTGTCAACATTTTTGCTTTCAACCAATTGAAACTGTACATTTTTCTCATTGTTTGAAGATGACCTTTTGCAGTAAGCAACCTGCAGGATTGCAGAGGTCGTTCTGTGTCACGCTGAGCAAAAGCAAGCCTATAAAAAGAATGTGGCTGGAATCACAGTCAATGACGATCAGTTTTATTCAGAATAAAGCACTATATTTGTTTTTAGAAACTCACCCTGGAAGAGTTGAGTTAGCAGGGAAGAAAGAAGAGAAGAGATTGTTTTGTTTTGTTTTATCAAGTGTAAGAAGCCCTAATGAAGAATCTTTACTTGAAAGTCTAGGATATTTTAATGGACTTATTTATAATTCCATATGCTCTGAATTACTATTTATGAATTACCTATTGCATTGGTATTATTACAGTAGTTTACCAAAGAGTAGAAAAAAGGAGAAAGGTTGAAAAAAAACCTATTTTAATGCAAAAAGCTGGTGATCTAATGGCTTTAAAAATATCAAGAACATAGATATCTCATTTATAATAATCTTATGGCTTGCTACTATATTCTGTAATTTAATTTTTTTTAATGAGGCAGATATTTTTCCTTACATCTGGTAATTAATATATCTGTAGCAATTAGAATTCCTGCTGTAATTCAGAGTTAATTTGGAATAAATGCTGTGGAGATATAGTGATCCAGGTATAGCATCTCTCTGTGGCCTCTTAAAGCAATCATGTCAGTCTCCATGTCAGTCTCCTCTTAAAGCAATCGTCAGCAATCAAATATCATTTCTGAATTACATCTGAACCACTGCATTACCCTGATGTCCATGTATGTGGAGTCCTTGGTGTTCTCTGACCTTGGTTGTTTCTTGCAGACGTTTCATTACCCAAACTAGGTAACATGATCAGTGCTACAAGGGAGAAGGGTTGGGACTCAACCTTCTAGCACTGATGATGTCACCTAGTTGGGTAATGAAATGTCTGCAAGGAAACAACCAAAGTCAGAGAACACTCATTTCAACCCTGCACTACCAATGTTCTCCTTTATTCCTCCTTTATTTATATCTATGAGTCATAGTGGTGGAGTGGTTAGAGTGTAGTACTGCAGGCTACTTCTGCTGACTGCCTGCAATTTGGCAGTTCAAATGTCACCAGGCTCAAGGTTGGCTCAGCCTTCCGTCCTTCTGAGGTGGGTAAAATGAGGACCCAGACTGTTGGGGGCAATAGGCTGACTCTGCAAACCGCTTAGAGAGGGCTGTAAAAGCACTGTGAAGCGGTATATAAGTCTAAGTGCTATTGCTACGTACCATGTTTCCCCGAAAATAAGACAGGATCTTATTTTCTTTTGACCCCTGAAATAAGCGCTTGGCCTTATTTTCAAGGAGGTCTTTTGAGGTGCAGGAGGCGGCGAGCGTGGTCACCTCTTGGCTACTGCTGCATTGCAATATTTTCGGGAGTGGGCTTATTATAGTGCATGTGCCCAAAAGCCCTATTGAGCTTATTATCCAGCGAGGTCTTATTTTTGGGGAAACAGGGTGTGTGACTCTGATTTAATTCTGCATGATATTTGGAACGCTGACAGTGTGTATGCTTAAACACAAACACATGCCCATTTCAAAAGTATGGGCAGATGACCCCAAACCGTGAAGAAATAGTAGTGAACCAAAACTTCCAAAGCTTGTTTTGGAGGCATGATTTCCAGAACTGTAGTTTAACAAAAGTCATTGTGCTTTTTTCTTTTTGGCTTCCTAGAATCAGAGGATAAAGGGCTGATGGTTTCCCTGAGGCTCATAGTGGGGTTTGTTTCTCACCATGGTAACTGGCATCCCTGTCCCTGTGATTGTTTGACTAGCCTCAGGCAGGCTGGCAGTGTGGTGGCAGGTTGCACCTCTGTGATTGGATATAGGCTCCTTGCATCCCCTCTCCCAGGCTTGCTATGGCAACTGCAGTCATAAGCCCTAAGCCCCCTCCTCTGCCTCCTCTGTCCCTGGTCTCCCTTCTTTGGGAAGTATTTTGTTTTAATCATTCCTCATCTTTATTTTCTTTCCTAAAGGTATGGGGCCTGCTTCACCTTTCAGCTGTGACGTAATGTACAGGAGCAGTTCTCTATGTATGGATAGGTTAATATTCAGCACTGTTTGATGGATTTTTGTAAACTTAAATATATTGACTGGTCCTGTTTTGTTTTTTTTAAGAAATACTGCCATTTTGACTGCCATTCCTTTTAAAAATCAAATTACACAATGTCTGTAAATAAGCAAGGAAGATACAACTTTATCTGCTGCTGCTTTACTCATTTAGTACAAAGACCATGAAATCTACAATATACTAGAATTCAAGGTCTTGAATATCTACAATATGCTAGAATGAAAGGAATAAGATTATTAATTCAGTTTACCCTTTTCTCTTAAGAGAAGAGTGAAATATCAATTGAGGGGTGGGGTTTAGTGTAAAATATTAATGGGGCTGTAGTAACATTGCATTTCTACATATGATTGTGATGTTCTTCTGATAGTTGTGAAAAATCCTAGCTGCTTGTTAAATTGTAGTCTGTAAAAGTAATAACAGCATTCAGAGAAACATATGTCTCACCTAGGAAATTACAGACGTTTTCAAAACTTAATGAAAGTTTTTCTTTTGTCCCAGCACTTGGGACAAGTCTTATGGACATAGTTCTATTGACATTATTGGGATATTTCTTCAAGGCTAATAATCAAATATATGCAAATCAAAGGCATTACCTTCCAAATCCTTGGTTTTGTACTTGGAAAATAGGACACATCTAACCATACATTATGGCTCTCCTGTGCTGCTTTATCTGTTTTTACGTACTTTACGTGGTTTTCATAACCCTTCCCCCATTTTAATCCAATAATATTAAGAACTTTCACAGAGATGCTTGATTAATTGTGTGTCCTCAAGTCGCTTTCAACTCTTAATAACCACCTAGGTCAGGAGTATCAAACTCAAGGCCCTTAGAGGTGCTTAGATTGGCCGAAGCGAAGGATCGGCCCGCAGTGCCTCTGCCATTGAAAATGGAGTTCGGGAGGGCTGTGTGCAGCCCTCATGAGCTCCATTTATGCTGGCAAAGGGTTGCAGGAGGCTGTCCCAGCCGAAAACAGAGGTTGCGAAGGCTTTGTGTGTGGCCCTCCCAGGCTCCATTTTCATTGGCAGAGGGTTGCAGGAGGCTGTCACAGCCGGAAACGGAGCTCGGGAGCCCGTTTCCACTCGCAGAGCACTCGAGTCACCACAGGTGCCCCCAACATGAATGACATTGAGCTAGCCATGCCCCCCTTGGTCACACCCACCTGCCCCCCCAAGGTCAAACACAACCCTGATGCGGCCCTCAATGAAACTGAGTTTGACACCCCTGACTTAGGTAGATTTTCTCTATGAGGATCCATCCCTTATTATTGCATTCTTCCAACCCTCCCAGTGGCGTCCCCATTGCCAGCATAATTGAGACCTTCCTCCTTGTTCCTGGCTACCCTATTCCTCACTTTCCTAGACATATTTTAGTATTTGAATAGGATTGTATTATGTTAGTTGTTGTAGCTTTAAATTATGTTTTATTTTATTTTTTTAAAAATATATATTTTTATTTTCCATTTTCATAACATATAATCACATGTATACTATTACATAGCCAATATCATGTTGTGCTAATTAATAATTACATCAGTTCATCTTGCCATCAACTCCCGGAAAAAATAAAAAAGAAAAAGAAAAACCAATTTTTGGCTCTTCTGCTCTCCATACACCATATTTATGCCTTATCCAACACTTTCTTCTGCCTCT